CTCTCTCTCTCTCTCTCTCTCTCTCTCTCTCTCTCTCTCTCTCTCTCTCTCTGTGTGTGTGTGTGTGTGTGTGTGTGTGTGTGTGTGTGTGTCTGAGGGCGGCATGGAGGGAAGAAGCAATTTTTCCTTTTTGGCTTTGTGTTCATGATCATGCCGTCCCCCTTCTTATCCCCCTGTTCAAAGTCCTCCTCCTGCTCCTCCCCTCCAATCTCTGACTTCATCCTTCTCCATCACCTCCTTGTCTTTGTCGTCCTCCTTCTCTACATATTCTGCCACCTCCTGTCGTCATTCTCCTGTGTGCCTGTGTGTGCCAGGTGGCCCGCACTTTTTTTTTTTTTTCGAGATGTGGCCCACACATTACAACAGCCATTTCGTCAAAACGGACATATTTTACTTTTCGGACTAAATTGAAAATCCAAACTGTGGCCAAAATTTGATGAAATTTTGGGTACGGCATTCTGAAAACCCCCTACCCCCTGGATGTATCTGGACTACATCCAGGGTGCACGGCGGATGTATCTGGACTACATCCAGGGTGCAGGGCGTTCATGAAAAGGCTGTTTTACCTTTTTTTTTTTCCCTTTCTGTTTATCTTCAAGCCATCCCCCTTCATTTTTTTTATTTATTTTTCATGGAACTGATCTTGCCCATCCTCCCCCTTCTCCACCTCCTTCTCTTCGTCATCCCCTCCTCCTCGGCTTTGTCCTCCCCCCATGCATCCTCCTTCTCTTCCGCTCCCTCCTTCTCCTCATACATGTTTCTCATCGCGTCATTTGGGCTGCCCTCCGACTCCTCTATCTCCTCATCTACACCCTCTTCCTCCTCGATCTCCACGTCGTTTTCTTCCTCCTTCCTGTCCTCGTTCTCCGGCAAGCATGCCACCTGGTGTCCATGCCGGTCTGTTCTGTGTTTTCTCTGTTCTTTTCTTCGTCTTGCTCGTCTTCCGGACCTCCCCCTTCTCCACCTCCTCTATTTCTTTTTTTTTTTAATTGCACTGGCTTGCAGCTCGCCCATCCCCCCCTGTCCTCCACCTACGGGCAGTACTACAGTACCTCCTCCTTTTGGCCTTGGCTCTCCCTCCCTTACTCCTCCTTAGCTTCCTCTTCCTTCTCCTTATCTTCCTCGTCGTCGCAGAGGGTTGGGCAAGCAGCTTTCTTCCCCAGCCCAGATACATTTACATGAATGAGGACAGTCCAGACGAATCGGGACGATTACCGGCCCAGGTACATTTACACCATAATTGTGTACAAAGTGTAGGGGAGCGACCCCCTTTCATTCATTTGGAAAAATTAAGGCCTCGACAAACTTGAAAGAGAGAACTGTAAAGCTCGAGTCATTATTGTCTGACAGCATGGTCAGATGGCACCCCTGAATTTATTATTATTTTTTATGTTTTATTTTTTTTTAACATTCTCCAGGCGTACTTACGGACCAGCATTGCCCCTGAGTGCCATTGCTAGTGGTGCTGATAAGAGCAGACACCGCGAGCACCTGGGGGGAGGCCCCATCTATTGGTGGAGGGCATCACCTGCCGGAAACGGGTCCAGCGTCCCATGTACAAACTGAATTTTGTGATACGGTGCCCCTGAGTCTAGTAGTGTCTATGCTGCATTTGTCCCTGTCTGTACCAGCTCCTCAAAATTAAGAAAACCTTTATATTTTTTTCACAAAACTCACACACTGTCAGCCCCTTCTATTCCTGGGGGGCGCCAGTCCAGTTGCTTTCAAGTAGGCTGCTTTTGCTCAACCCGGCTCAGATCTTGATGCTGCCACTCAATATTTATTAAACCGTGGTGCGAGACTAGAAGAGATCCTAAAATAATTGCTTTACATTGATCCAACAAAGATATTTGTTTTATTTTTTTACGAGGCAAATTGATTGCTGACGTATTGGGCAAATATACGGTAGACTGTCGTAAAAAATTAAAACAAATATCTTTGTCGGATCAATGTTAAGCAATTATTTAGGATCTCTTCTTAGACTAGTCTCGCCACGATTTAATAAATTGAGTGGCAGCATCAAGATCTGAGCCAAATTGAGCAAAAGCAGCCGAACAGTTTCATAAAGTACTATTAGATTGAAGTTAATAAGTTATCATTGAACATGTTATGCGCCATGCTTGGGGAAGAATCGAGTCAGCAGAAGGGGGTGCTCTTTCATTACCCCCTTCTGACTCATTACTCCATAATTATCCAGCAGAAGGGGGTGCTCTTTCATTACCCCCTTCTGACTCATTACTCCATAATTATCCAGCAGAAGGGGGTGCTGTTTCCCCAATCCAGCAGAAGGGGGTGTTGTTTCATCACCCCCTTC